GCAGCCCACGGGAAAGCAGAACCAGGAACGTGAGCCTGGCGCACGGAGCAGAGCGAGCTCGAGCGGCCCGGGAAGGCATGGAGAGAGCCAGGGGATGGGGAGCATACGAGGGGCAGTCCAGAGAAGTGGGTGAATCAGGAGGGTGGGGACGTGGAAGCGCGGCCGCGACACCAAGGGTGGAAGTGCCAGCCAGATTCTCAGGGGATCAACGCACGGGGCCGTCGCTCAAGAACTATCTGATGAAAGTGGGAAATGTGAGATATCGATGTGACAGGAGCGGCATGGACCCCGTAGATTTCTTCTTGAGTCTGCCGAATACGTTGGAAGGAGAGGCAGAGACGCTCTACCGCATGAGAATGGATGAACTATTGTGGAGGGCAGGGAGGTACGGGGAAGACCCCACGGAGGCATTCCTGGAGAGGTTGCAACGGCAGTTTCCCGGGCATACGGCCGAACGGATAAAGGAGTTCCAGGAGTTCAGAAGGGGGCGGGCTGAGTCGATGCTGACATATTACAATCGACAAATCAATGTAGCAGAGGATGTGAAATGCTCGGATAGTAGCCTCCTCATTATTAAGTTCCTGGAGGGCCTGGACGAGGCGCTGGGGGGAGGGCTGAGGATGAGAGTGTACGAGCTGGGAGCGAAGGCAAGACTGGATGAGGTGTTTGACCTGGCCGAGAGGGTGGAGCTCGCCCAGAGGAGGTATGAGGCTCATCTGCCGAGACCAGCAGAGAGGAGCCGCAGGCCAACCTGGGCAGCAGCAATGATACAAGAGGGAGGAGGAAGGACGGATGGGCGAGGGGAGGCAGGAGTTGACACCAGGACGTGTCATCGGTGCGGGCAGATGGGACACATTCGCAAGGACTGCAAGAACTGTGATGGCTGCGGGAAGCCAGGGCATCGGAGGCGGGAATGCCCAGATGCCGCCAGGTGTGAGATTTGCAAGAAGCGAGGGCACGAGGCGAAGGACTGCTATCAGAGAGAGGGAGGGGCCAGGAGAACCCCGGAAGAGTTGTAGCGGCAGATCAGCAGGCTGCAGGCACAGCTGCGAGCGCCAGAACCAAGGGGGGAAGCGAAAGCAGGGATGTATGCCAGGGATGAGGAGGGGGAGGAGGTGGAGCAAGATGTGCAGTGTGCCCTCATGGCATGGAGGGGAAGAGAAGAGATGGGACTGAGGAGCGGAGGGAAGGGCGGTAGGCGGGAGCAGGGCAGGAAGGAGAGCGAGAAGGGGCAGAAGCTGGGCGAGCCAGCACAGGAGCAACCACCAGCACGCACCCACAAGAAAGGCTGGCGTGCTAGACCTCAGTGCTGCTACTAGAAGGGGGAGCGATGGAGGTGGAGGGAGAGAAAGTGAAGACCGCCATCATAGACACGGGAGCACAGAGTGTGATGTTAGGCAAGGGGATGGCGGAGAGGCTGGGATTGATGGCACCTGAGAGACATGTAGCGAAGGGGATGCTGGTGATGACGGCGGAGGGAGGGGAACCAAAGTGGATGCCGTGCACTTGCACGCCCATAGAAGTGACCCTACTGCCAGGGGGGGAGCATGAGACCAAGATAAGAATGAAGTGTGGGATTTCAGAGTCGGAAGACTTTGATGTGCTGGTGGGCACAGAGCTTGTGTTTACAGTGGGCATGACCATATGCACCTGGACAGAGAGGGTGGAGTTTCGCACGCGGTACTGGAAGAAGGAGGGACCGTTGGGACAGCTGCCAGTGCGGGTTGTGAAGGTGGAGCCCAAGAGAGCATACCAGGCCGTGATAGAAATGCAGACAGGGAAGCAGGAGGCGGGGGAGAAGGGAGGGGCAAGGCGGTCGGGGGAAGGGCCCAGCATGAAGCAGATGGATGAGCCGAAGCGACAGAGCGATTGGCAGCAACCCATCTGCCTGTTAGAGCTGATTGGAGGAATAGGGGTAGGGATGTCAGCAGTAGTGAGGAGTGGGATGGCGGTGAGACGGTGGATATATGTGGAAAAGGAGCCGGTGGTGAGAAGAATGGCAGAGCACCATGCGTGGAAATTGCAGGGAGAGTTCCCGGAACTACTGAGTGGGAAGGTGATTCAGGAGGCCATGGGCGGAACTGTTCATGACGTGAGGAAGATAACAGAGGCGGAAGTGGCCAGCTGGGGGCAAGTGGACCTGCTGGTGGCGGGTTGGGAATGCCAAGGAATGTCCTGGGCAGGAAAGGGGAAGGGAGCAGGAGACCCCAGGACAAAGCTGATGGAGGACTTGTTCCGCATCATGGAATGTCTGCAAGAGAGGCAAGGCAGAGTGGCTTACCTACTAGAGAACTTGGACCTGGAGGAGGACAGCCGAGAGCCAATCCGAATAGTGAGGGAAAGGATAAGGGGGCAACTAGGAAGAGGAGTGAGCTGTGATGCTGCCAGGGCAGGGTCCTACGCGCATCGACTCGGATGTATTGGCAGAATGTGGTCCCGGCCCGGAATCTGCAGGAGGAGATAGAGGGAGTGAAGAGAGCGCCAGGGAAGAAGGTGCAGGACATACTAGAGCCAGGGCGGACCCCAGCACCAGTATGCCGGAAGGGCTATCACAGGCATTACCCGTGCAACCAGGTGGGGCAGGACAGGCGGGCCTTGCCCACCCGGGTGGCCTCTGCGGGGGCAGCCGGGTACGAGTGGGCAATGGGGAAACCAGGGCCAGGAATGGTGTATGATCATAGGAAGGGGCGATGGGAGGAACCAACTGCACTGGAACGAGAACTGGCCATGGGGTATGGAGAGAATGCAACGGCGGCGCCAGGGGTGAGTGAAGCGGACAGGAGAAGGGCTTTGGGGAACGCGATGGATGGGCACATGCTGAGATGGTTGGTCCAGAGGATGTGGCGGGAGACGGTCATGAGCTGGGGGCAGGAGGGAGAGGAAGAAGGGGCGGATTTAGTGCCACAAGGAGCATGGACCTGCCGAGAGGAAGGGGAGGAGAAGTGGAAGGTGGGAGATGCAATGAGTGAAGGAGGGAAGGAGGCCATGCAGCAGCTGCTGGCCAAGCACAGGAAATGTTTCGCCTTCACCCTGCAGGAGTTGGGAAGATGCAAGGTGAAGGAGATGGAGCTGAAACTGAGCAGCACAGAGCCCGTGTTCCACCGTAGGAGGAAGATGCCGCACGGGGATGAGGAAACCTGCAAAGAGAAGATAAAAGAGCTGTTGGAAGCAGGACTGATCAGGAGGTCAGAATCAGAATACGCCACATCGACGGTGGTAGCAGCTAGGAAGGACCTGACGGGGGAGGTACTGAGCAGGAGGATGTGTGGGGACTACACAGCACTCAACAAGATCACGATAGCGGATAGGTACCCGATGCCGATGGCAGAGGAGATCTTTGACAAGCTGGCCGAGGGTGTGCTCTTCACGACGCTGGACCTGAGGCAGGGGTTCAATCAAATCAAGATCATGGATGAAGATATAAGGAAAACGGCATTCCATGGGCCGGACGGGCTGTACGAGTGGCTGTACATGCCTTTCGGGTTGAGGAATGCGTCAGCTGTGTTCCAGAGAGTGATGGACAGCGTACTGCGGGGAGTGGAATGTGCGGCTACCTACATTGACGATGTAGTTATCTTCAGCACGACCGAGCAGCAGCACTTGCAAGATGCAGAAAAGACACTGACGGCGATAGAGTTAGCAGGGCTGACATGTCACCCCAAGAAGTGCAGATGGGGCGAGCAAACCGTGCAATACCTGGGATATGAGGTGAAAGGGGGGCAGATTGGTATCCAACAGGCCAAGGTGGAGGTCCTGGACAGACTACGGGAGCCGAAGGACAAGTCAGGGCTGAAAGTGGTGCTGGGCTTCCTAAGCTACTACCGTCGGTTTGTGCCCAACTTCAGCAAGCGAGCAGCAGTGTTGAACGGGCTGCTGAGGGAAGACAAGGCGTGGGAGTGGAGAGGAGCACATAAGGGAGCTCTGCAGGACCTGATGACAGCAGTGAAGACAGCAACGGTGCTGTAGCTGCCTGCCGCCGATCAGCCATTCACGCTCTACACCGACTGGAGCAGCCAAGGGATGGGAGGGATACTCTGCCAAGAGGTGGGGGGGGGGGGGGAGAAGGTGGTGGCTTACGCGAGCAGGAGCTGCAACTCGGCAGAGGCACAGTACAGCTCGTATATAGGGGAGGGACTGGCAGCAGTGTGGGCCGTGGGACACTTCAGGGTATACCTGCAGGGGCGGGAGTTCACCTTGGTGACGGACCACCAGCCACTGACATGGCTGATGACAACGCCGGGGCTGACAGGCAGGAATGCACGGTGGGCTATGAAGCTGCAGGAGTATGACTTCAAAATCAAACACAGGCTGTCACCGCATATGCAAGGGATGCATATGCAATAACAGTACAGTGCGGTGCTGTGAAGTAGTATAGGAAATAGCTATGAATGCATTGAAGTATATAAATAGAAAGTAGTGTAGGAAGTGTAGCCAGTAGCGAAGTGTCGGTTGCAAAGGGGGAAATATGTGGGAGCGGTTGGGATGAAGGGGGAAAAGCACCGAAGGGCGAAATGTGGGATTTGAACAAATCCCAACCTCGAGCCGCACATTGGAAATGTGCAAGCCGAGGTTGGGTAAAGTCACCCACGCCCATTCACTCGATGCCTATTGTTCAGTATTCTTTCATACTAGTGAAGGGCTGTCATCCTAGCTACTACACGCGGTGGCACAGCACTAAGAGGGAACGTGTGGGGTGAGGGAGCAATCCCGTTCATACTGAACAATAGGCCCGACACGTAGTCATGGATAAATATGAGCTACGTTGGGGTAGGGTGTTTAGTCGCCGGGAGGAGGAACGAGCACGAGGTGAGCCGTCACACGAGCGCGGGCGATCTCTGGAGCGCTAGCCGCGAAGGCCGGCATTTCGCGCAGATAGAGTTCCCATCGCTGGGGACCGACGGGCGGAAGGGAGGCCTAGCGTGGGAGCGGGTGGAGAAGGATGGCGGAGAGAGCATGATCGCGGGGATGGATACAGGAGCGGAGACCGACGCGCTGTGGGAATGTTCCGCTCGCCGGAAGAGTGCGGGCGCCGCCGTGACGAGAGGGGCCGTTGGCAGGGCGTCGAGCGATTCGACGCCGACCGAGGAGGGGAAGCCGCCGAAAAGGAAGAAGCGTGGGAGACGTCCGGCGAGGAAGAGGCGGAGGAGGACGTAGCGAACCTGGAACGGGCGGTCGAAGACGCCGACGGAGGAGATGACGGCGAGGAACCCGCGGCTGGGATTGGAGACACCGAGCCTGGAGAGGCGGACATTGCCGGGGGCGCAAGCCAGGCAGGGGCGGAAGGATCGCGGTCGGGACGGCCGGAATCGCGCGGGTGCGACGCAAGCCGCCAGGAGGAGCACTACGCGGGGAGGTCGCGTCAGCAGGAGCGGCGGGACTGGGGCGTGCGTGCCGGCACTGTGGGGACGCAAGGAGAACGCGGCCAAGGGGAGGAAGAGGGACCGCGCGCGTCAGCGGAAGGATCGCGGCGCTGGGAGCGGCCTTCTGTTAACCCTCGCGCACTCGACAGGCGCCAGGCATAAGGGGGCTGGGGCGAAGACGGCGCACGATCGCTGGACAGGCAGTCGATGCACAAGGGAGGATGGGAGGGCGAGCCACGCGCACCCAGCCACCACTGGCGGCGGGAAGAAGGACGCGAGGAGCCTAGTTCGTCAGAGAGGCGCGGTCAGCGGCAAGAGGGGCGCGGCGGGGAGACACGGACGTCCGGCCCGCAAGCGCAATGGGAGAGGAGGGTGGCGGCGGATTCCGCTCGCCGCTCGTCCGGCAGCAGCGGGGAGGAGAAGGCGGCGGAGACAGGCGCTCGCCTGGAGATCGTCGGCAGCAAGGGAGGGGAGAAGCATGGGAACCGTCGCCAGAGAGGCAGCGGCAGCGAGAGACGAGCACAGCGGGGTGGAGAGAGGCACGAGTCTCGCCGGCACGAACGCGAGGGCGTGCGGGAGAGGAGAGGGGCCCGAGAGAAAGGCACGGTGACTCGGGCTGGAATCGGCGGGAGAGCAGAGCTGGAGGAGGGAGCTTAGCATATGGCGCTGAGCGGGCCCGAGAGGCCAGGGAAGGGCTGGAGAGGGCCAAGGAGAGAGGGACGGGGGGAGAGCGGCTGGGAGGGGCCAGGGAATCGTGGGGAGAAGGGAGGGGAAGTACAGCCAGCGCGACGCGGGTGGAAGTGCCGGCGAGGTTCTCGGGGGACCAACGGGTGGGGCCGGCCCTCAAGAATTACTTGATGCAGGTGGGGAACGTGAAATACCGCTGTGACAGGCAAGGCATGGACCCAATAGACTTCTTCTTGAGCCTGCCGAACACACTGGAGGGAGAGGCGGAGACGCTGTACCGCATGAGGATGGACGAGCTGCTGTGGAGGGCAGGGAGGTACGGGTAGGATCCCACCGAGGCATTTCTGGAGCGGCTGCAACGTCAATTCCCGGGACACACGGCGGAGCGCATAAAGGAGTTTCAGGAGTTCAGGAGGGGACGGACAGAATCCCTACTGACCTACTACAACCGACTGATGAACTTGGCGGAGGATGTGAAATGTTCGGACGGCAGCCTCCTCATCAGCAAGTTTCTTGGAGGCCTGGACGAAACACTGGGTGGGGGACTGAGGATGAGGGTGTATGAGTTGGGGGCGGATGCGGCACTGGAGGAGGTGTTTGACCTGGCGGAAAGGGTGGAGCTGGCACAAAGGAGGTATGAGGCCTACCTGCCGAGGCCGACAGAGAGGAGCCGCAGACCGACATGGGCGGCGGCTATGATACCAGAGGAGCGAGGGAGGGTGGACCCACACGGGGAAGAGAGAGCCGACGCGCGCACCTGCTACCGGTGCGGACAGATGGGGCACCTCCGCAGAGAGTGCAAAAACTGTGATGGATGTGGGAAGCCTGGGCACCGGAAACGAGAATGTCCTGACGCGGCGAAGTGTGAGATCTGCGGGAAGAAGGGGCACGAGGCCAAGGAGTGTTACCAGCGGGAGGGAGGGGCAAGGAGGAAACCAGAGGAGCTGCAGCGGCAGATCAGCAGGCTGCAGTCTCAACTGCAGGCCATGAGGTCAGGGTGGGGAGCAGAGGCGGGGATGTACGCTAGGGACGAGGAGGGAGAAGGGGTGGAGCAGGACGTGCAGTGTGCCCTCATGGCCTGGAGAGGCAGGGAAGAGATGGGGCTGCGTAGCGGGGGGAAGGATGGCAGGCAGGAGCATAGCAGGAAGCCACGTGAGCAGGGGTTCAAGCCGGATGCGCCAGGAGGAGAGAAAACCCCAGCCCGCCACCCGCAGGAAAGACTCGCGTGCCAGACCTCGGTGCTACTCGTGGAAGCGGAAGGAGTGGGGAGGATGAAGGTAAAGACGGCGATCATTGACACAGGAGCACAGAGCGTGATGCTGGGCAAGGGGATGGCCGAACGGTTGGGGCTGATGGCCCCTGAGAGGCACGTGGCGAAGGGGATGTTAGTCATGACGGCAGAGGGAGGGGAACCAAAGTGGATGCCGTGCACACGGACCCCCATAGAGTTGACACTGCTGCCAGGAGGGGAACATGAAACAAGGATCAGGATGAAGTGTGGAATCTCGGAGTCTGAGGACTTTGACCTGCTGATGGGGACGGAATTGGTGTTTGCTGTAGGCATGAGCATATGTACCTGGACGGAGAAGGTGGAGTTCCGAACGAGGTACTGGAAGAAGGAGGGACCATTGGGGCAGCTGCCAGTGCAGTTTGTAAGGGTGGAGCCGAAGCGGGCCTATCAGGTCGGAGCAGGAGGGGCACAGAGAGGGCAGAGAGGAGCAGCAGAGACCAAGGAGGGGCCCAAGATGAAGCTGATGGACAAGCCGGGGCAGCAAAGCGATTGGCAGCAGCCCATCCGGCTAGTAGAGTTGTTCGGAGGAATCGGGGCAGGGCTGGCGGCAGCAGTGAGGAGTGGGATTGCAATGCAGCAGTGGGTCTATGTGGAACAGGCACCACAGGTGAGAAGGATGGCTGAGCATCACGCGCGGAAGCTGAGAGCTGAGTTCCCGGACCTCCTGAGTGAGAAGGTAATTCAGGATGCCATGAGCAGTACGGTGCACGATGTGAGTCAGATCACAGAGGAGCAGGTGGCCAGCTGGGGGCAGGTGGACCTGCTGGTGGCGGGATGGGAGTGTCAAGGGGTGTCATGGGCAGGAAAGGGGAAGGGAGGGGAGGACCCGAGGATGAAGCTGATGGAGAACTTGTTCAATATCCTGGAGTGGCTGCAGGAGAGGCAGGGCAGAGTGGCTTACTTGCTGGAGAATCTGGATTTAGAAGGGGATTGTAGAGAGCCGATTCGGCTGGTGAGGGAGAGGATTGGCCGGTACTTGGGAAAAGGGATGAGCTGTGATGCAGCCAGGGCAGGGTCGTACGCTCACCGCCTCAGGATGTACTGGCAGAACGTGGTTCCCGTGCTGGACCTGCAGGAGGAAGCAGAGGGGATGAGGAGGGCAACAGGGAGGAGGGTGGTGGACATCCTAGAGCCGGGACGGACTCCCGCGCCAGTGTGTCAAAGAAGTTACAGCAGGCATTACCCATGCAACCAGGTGGGGCAGGACAGGAGGGCTCTGCCCACCTTGGTCGCTTTTGCGGAGGCAGCAGGCTACAGGTGGGAAGGGGGGGAGCCCGGTCCCGGGCTGATATATGACCACAAGCGGGGATGGTGGGAGGAACCGACAGCACTAGAGAGAGAGCTGGCTATGGGATATGGGGAAAACGTGACGGCAGCACCAGGGGTGAGCGAGGAAGACAGAAGGAGGGCACTGGGGAATGCCATGGATGGCTACATGATGAGGTGGCTGGTGCAGAGGATGTGGCGAGAGATGGTCTTGGGCGGGGGGCAAGAGGCAGATAAGGCGGCGGCAGCAGCAGCCCCACAAGGAGCATGGACCTGCCAAGAGGAAGAGGGAGAGAAGTGGACAGTGGGGGAAGCGATGAGTGAAGAGGGAAGGGGAGCTATGCTGGGACTGCTGGCCAAGCATAGGAAGTGCTTTGCCTTCACCCTGCAAGAACTGGGAAGGTGCAAAGTGAAGGAGATGGAGCTGAAACTGAGCAGCACTGAGCCTGTGTTCCAACGGCGTAGGAAGATGCCGCACGGCGATGAAGAGATATGCAAGGAGAAGATCAAGGAGCTGCTAGCGGCCGGACTGATTCGGCGCTCAGAATCAGAATACGCCACACCAACGGTGGTGGCAGCGAGGAAGGACTTAACAGGGGAGATCCTGAGCAGGAGGATGTGCGGAGACTACCGAGCGCTCAACAAGATTACCGTGGCGGACAGATACCCAATGCCGATGGCGGAGGAAATATTTGACAAGTTAGCAGAGGGGGTGTTCTTCACGACGCTGGACCTGCGACAGGGGTTCAATCAGATAAAAATCAGGGAGGAGGACGTTAAGAAGACGGCATTCCATGGGCCGGATGGGCTGTACGAGTGGCTTTACATGCCATTCGGGCAAAGGAACGCATCAGCAGTGTTTCAGAGAGTCATGGATACAGTGCTGAGGGACGTAGAATGTGCAGCGTGCTACATAGATGGCGTGGTGATCTTCAGCACCTCCGAACAGCAGCACCTGCAGGATGTGGAGAAGACACTGGCGGCAATAGAAGCAGCAGGACTCACGTGTCACCCGAAGAAGTGTAGGTGGGGTGAGCAGACCGTTCAGTATCTGGGCTACGAGGTGAAAGGGGGGCAGATCGGGATCCAGCAAGCGAAGGTGGAGGTGCTGGATAGGCTGCGAGAACCAAAGGACAAGACAGGGCTGAGAGCGGTATTGGGGTTCCTGAGTTACTACCGGCGATTCGTGCCCAACTTCAGCAGGCGGGCAGCGGTGTTGAACGGACTGTTAAGGGAGGACAAGACATGGGAGTGGGGGGAAGCGCAGAAAGGGGCATTGCAGGAGCTGATGACGGCAGTAAAAACAGCAACCGTCTTGCAGCTGCCAGCAGCGGACCAACCCTTCACCCTCTACACCGACTGGAGCAGCCAAGGGATGGGCGGGATACTCTGCCAGGAGGTGGAAGGGGATGAGAAGGTGGTGGCCTATGCGAGTAGGAGCTGCAACTCGGCGGAGGCACAGTACAGCTCATACACGGGGGAGGGACTGGCGGCAGTATGGGCTGTGGGGCACTTCAGGGTCTATCTGCAGGGGCGAGAGTTCACCCTGGTGACGGACCACCAGCCACTGACATGGCTGATGACTACACCAGGGTTAACAGGCAGGAATGCACGATGGGCAATGAAGCTGCAGGAGTATGACTTCAAAATCAAGCACAGGCCAGGAAAAACCTTGCAGCATGTGGACGGCCTCTCCCGTAACCCCCCACCGCTAGAGCCAACAGTGACTCTTGCGCTGCTGGCCAGACAGGTGGAGCTGAGCAGGGCCAGGAGGAGCAAGGGGCCAGCTGATATCTGGGAGGATGAGCAGGCGGTGAGATGGGTGAAGGGGGAGACAGGGGCAGACGAGGAGATGAGCGAGAGGGTGAGAGCAAGGGGGCACCACTACAGGTGGTACCAGCAGCAGTTGCAGATACAGACCGAGGGTGGGTGGAAGCTGGTGCCGGCCCCAGGCGAGAGGGAAGCAGTGATAAAGGAGGTGCACTCAAAGCTGGGGCACTTCGGGCATGAGAGGACATTGCAGCTGTTGAAGACGGGCTGGTGGTGGGAGGGAATGCGCAGACAGGTGCAGAAGTGGGTGGAGGGATGTGAGGCCTGCCAAAGGAGCCGAGCAAACCTGACCCAAGCCAAGGCCGAGCTGCAGTCCCTGCCCATCCGCGGGTTAGGCTTCAGATGGTCCTTGGACCTGGCGGGGGAACTGCCGCTGAGTCGGGGGGGGAAACGGTACATAGTGCTCATGGTAGAGCACGTGAGCAAGTGGCTGGAGGTGAGGGCTATCCCCAGCAAGAGCTCAAGGCATGTGGCAGCAGCATTCAAAGAATAGGTAATATGCAGATTTGGGGTGTGTGCAGAGGTGCTCACCGATCAAGGAACAGAGTTTCAAGGGGAGTTCAGGGAGCTGTTAGAGGAAGCA